GAATCTTTTAGCCGAAACACATTTTGAAGAAGTATTTGTTCGAAAAACGTGAATTTCCGTCAAGTTTCTATAACTATTAATTGGATAAAATTGCAACTGATTTGCTTAAGTCATCCGAATTTTTATCCTCTAAGTGAATTGGCATAGTTAATATTTCTTTCGAAATACTACTAAGTGAAATCAGTACCAATTTGCTCTTTTTTAAAACATTTGAGTTTAAGAGTCTTTTTTAGTCCTAGTTTTCAATCAAAACCTTGTCTCATTTCTTAAAGTTCTGAATCCATTTCTTAAAATAAAAAAAATTAAAGTGATCATATTATTTTACAAATTTAAAATCCAAAATATTAGCATTTTTTGGAAGTTATTTTAGTCAAGCTAATCCAATCATAATATTTTTGGACTTGTGCTCAGTTTTCTTGAGTTGAATCAGATTTTTAGAACTTCATATTTTATGTTTTCTTATAATTAAGTCTTAAATTTAATTAACCTAAGTTTGGTCGGTCAACAGTAGTTAACGGATCATATAGGGTGCCTTAATAACCTTCCCTATAAGATTAATTAGAATCCTTACCCATAATCTTTAAGGCTAAGCAGACCGTAAAAACAGAGTTAACTTTAACTATTATCTAGCTAAAATTGGTGTCCTAATTCACCGTTAAAATAATTAGGTGGCGACTCTCTTTAATTAATTAAACCTTCAGAATTACCAATATGTTATACTCTAGATTTGACCCGTGTCAAAATGGGGTATAACAACAACATGCATCGACCAACAGAGTTACTATATCCGGTTATTTCACCGTGGCATTTTATGAAGTGGGGGATGGATATCGTGGGTCCATTATCACAAGCCAAAGGAAAGGTACGATTTTTATTAGTGCTTACTAATTATTTTACTAAGTGGATAGAAGTAGGTGCCTTCAGACAGGTACGAGAAAAAGAGGTCAGAGACTTCATTTGGCGAAACATCATATGTCGGTTTGGGGTTCCAAAAGAAATCGTGTGTGATAATGGCCCGCAGTTTGTAGGTGCGCAAATCACAGAATTCTTTTAGAGTTGGCAAATTAAAAGGATTACTTCAACATCTTATCATCTTGTGGCCAATGGACAAGCCGAATCAACAAATAAAGTTATTATTAATAACTTGAAGAAAAGACTAGAGGAGTCAAAAGGTAAGTGGCCAGAAGTGCTACCTGGAGTCTTGTGGGCTTACCGAACAACAGCAAAAACAAGCACAGGAGAGACACCATTTTCACTTGTGAACGGTGCTGAAGCCTTAATTCCAGTTGAAATAGGAGAGCCAAGTACGAGATATACCCAAGAAACCGAAGACTCAAATGAGGAGGAGATGCAAGTAAATCTCGATTTGTTTGAAGAAAGGAGAGAAACAGCTTTAATAAGGGTGGCTCCGCAGAAACAAATTATGGAGCGATATTACAATAGAAAAGCTCATCTTAGGTACTTCAAGATTGGGGACTACGTACTCAAGAAAGTTTTCCAATCCACGAGAGCAGCCAATGCAAGGAAGTTGAGTCCAAATTGGGAAGGACCTTACAAGGTTCGAGGTATCGCTGGAAAAGGTGCATATGAGTTGGAAACCATGGATGGCAAGGTTCTACCCTCGAGTTGGAATGTTGTTCATCTGAAGAAGTACTATTTCTAAGGAAAGGAAATACCCACGGTCAGGTACCCCTTAATTACGATTTTTATTTTTGTACAGTTAAAATTATACTAACAATTTTAGATGATAGGCAAAAAGCTAGCCCACACCAAATGATTATATTAGACCTGAAAGACACGCGGAAGCAACATAATTCTCGGTCTAGGGTTACAATCTTTCTGATGGAAATATAAAGGGTTAAGCAGTCATCATCTAAATTATACCTCCGAGACCTGTATGTTTTTCCTTTTAAGGAAAAGGGCCGCATGAAAGGAATAATCAAGTGCTCGAGATTTCATACTTAAAAGCTCAAACACTTGGGGGACTATATATATAAGGAAGGCAAAGAAGACTGGAACAATCAGAATTCAAGTCAAGCCTAAAAGTCTACCCATCAAATCGAAAGTTCAGAGCAAAGTCACGAGCCAAAAATGCAAGCTTGATTTAAGAACCTATGAAGAATACACTCGTGGATGCAAATTCCAAAAATTTACGAATGTATAGGTTAAAGGCAATATTTAGTCATGGGTAGCCAAGATATACCCTCGATTTTTTTTACAAATCTGTTGTAAAGAAAACAGTTATGAAAAAGTTATAGATGATACTTAAATACATGTAAAATATTACTTAGTTTGATATTTCAAATGAGGAAAAACTTTCTTCAAAGTTATTCAAAGAAACATGTGTTTTCCTATTTCTTCTTTCGTATACAACATTATGAAGTTGAGACGTCTTCTTCATTAAGTGTCGTATATAAAAGGGCCCTCTTTTATAATTCGTGCTTGTTCAAAAAGTCATGAAATTAACAAAGTATTTTTAGATGCTAAAGTTAAAATAGCAAAGGGTAAAACAAAAACTCAAAGTTAAGTGGAAAATAAATCCCCAAACTTATAAAGAATAAGGCAAGGGCAAACCACTAAAAGAGTAAAACAGAAACTCGAAATAAAGATGTCATAAAAGTTGGACAAAAAACTTTATAATATCATAATAACTTGGTTAAAACTAAGTGTGAACTTAGTTTCAACTTAATTGTCTTTACAAAAAAACCCGAAACAAACTAGGGGCAAGATCTTCCAAAACATCACCCCAAATGGGACCAGGGGTAAAACTTCTAAATGTTCCACCATTAAAAAAACAAAACAACACTTCACATTTTCTTAAACTTTCACTAAGGGACAAAATCTGAACCAGGATTGTGAAGAACGGCATCATCAGAAGCAGGAAGAGTAACTTGAGCGGAAGGAGATTGAATAGCAGCCTCACCAGGAGTAATTTCATCACCCTCGGGAATGTCAGTCACGGGTGAAGAAAAGCTTTGACTTTGTTGGGTTTTCTCAATGGTCTCCTTAATCTTTGCAATCTCAGCAGCTAAGTCAAAGCCTTCCTGGCTTGCTTCCATTAAAGTATCATGGTGTGCGTTCAAAAAAGCCCAACTTACTTCAACGGTAGTCTTGTCCTCAAGGGCTTCATAGTCTCTTTCCCAATGCTCAACCTCATTCCTAAGTTCTTCCTTCTCAGTTAAGGCAGCATCATAAGAAGCCAGCAGGGGGCAAGAGAATTCTCCAAAAATCAAACTCTATCAGAAGACATTCGGAGATCTTCTTGAGCTTGGGTGAGCGTTTGAACAAGTTCACCAGCATAAACTTCTTTCTGATTCAATAGGTATTTCAGACCTCTGATCTCTTCAGTAGCTCTAGAAAGTTGTTCAGCAAATGAAGACTCAAGAAGGTTCTTGTCTTTGCCCGCCTGATTAGAAGAGGCTCTCTCAACCGCTAGTTCTGCTGCCAACACCTTTACTTGCTGCTCCAAGGTACACTTGTTTTCCTCTAAAACCTCCATTTCAAGTTGAAGACTCTCGTACTACTCTTTCCAATTATCTGCCTCAGTATGATAGTACTACTATAAAAAGGACCTTTAGTGGCAATAAAAAACAGCATTGGCGGCAATAACAATTGCCGCTATAACATTTACAAGCAATTAATCTTTAGCCGGTGATGCCGGGGTCGGTAAAGCCTTTAGCGGCATTTCTGCCAAAAGCTGGTAAAGGGTATGATTTATTGCCGCTAAAACTCATTTGCTTTAACGGCAATTGTTTGTGGCAATTATTATGGCTGCTAAATCCATTCTAAAAACAACTAATAATGCTCCTTTAACGTCCATTTTTATAGCCACTAAATTCAAAATATTTGTCGCTAAAAGACCATACCTTTAGCGGTAATTATTTTGTGGCAATTCAATTGGCAACAATATCTCTTCTAAAAACGTATTAGTATGCCCCTTTAGCGTCCATTTTAATGGATAGCAAAGTCAATTAAATTGCCGCTAAAAATCATATTTAATAGCAATATAATGGTTACAATATCCCTGTATAAACGTCTTAATCCTATTAAATTGGCACTAAAATTCACAAGCTATAACTGTAAGTTTAGCCACCATTAATAATAGCTACTACATTCTACCAAAAAATAATGCAAATAACAAAACATATTGATATTAATTCATAAAACTATAGTATATCTCGTTAAATCTTAACTAACAAAAGGAAGTACTAATAATCCAAAATATTAATATCACAAATCCTTAAAAAAAACTCATATTGTTTGAAGTAAATAGCTAATGTCACTATATAACTAATCTTAACGAATAACAATCTTCAAATAATCTCTGAAACTCTTCGTCATATTGAAATCTTTCACCCGCTAAATTATCGAACATCAGACTGTATGACCTGAAATTATAAAATAACTATGTCAATAGGAAGTAAATATTACCAAACAACAAAGCTGATAATAATTTGCGAGGTTATGAAACTAAAAGTCCATAACCATCTTTGTGGTAGTACACGGCATGACTAAAGGGATAACAGAAAGCTAAAATGAACTCCTGGAACCATCCTTTCTGATAGAAAGGGTATATTTTTTTTATACTGCCGCAGGAATTGTTATTTTAAATTAATGAGGACACTACTAAGTTTCACAAGGAATTCCACTTATAAAGATAATGTGTAATGATAACCTCCAACCAAAGCTTTTCTAAGTTAAGAATATTCTTTACGAAGTTCAGAATAATATCACGCATACACTATCTCTTTGTTTCCAATGCATGTTTCAGCGGCAAAAAGGTTGACATACTTTGGAGGGATTTCTTATGGCAAGGAAGAAGAACACAGAACCTTCAACTTGGTAAGATAGGAAACAGTCACCACAGATAAGGAGGCAGGTGGACTTGGAGTGAAGAACTTTAAGATACAGAGGAACAGCTTACTGCGGAAGTGACTATAGAATTTAGTGTCGAAGAGGAGGCACTTTGGAGATCTGCAGTTACGGTAAAATATGGACTCCTAATCCCTTGGATCACTAGACAGGTTCAGCAACACAGTCCCTATGGTATATGGAGGCAAATTAGAGTTCACTGGAATTCTTTTTTTGCCAACACCTCTTTCAAGTTGGAACTGAGAACCTCCTTTACAGAACCTTGTGTATCAACAAAGCAATTTAGTGACTCAAGCAATTTAGTTATTTATCAGTAGAAATCAAAGAGATAGGTAATGACTAAATGACTCACAGATATATGGAGCAAAATTAAGAGCTTTATACAAATAAGCAAGTCATACAGATCATATAAGTGTTTAAGTAAAAGTGACTGGGTTCGACTGAACCCGCACACTATAAGCTAGCTCCTCCTTTGGTAACAATATTATTCAGGCAGAACATGAGTTGACTTGAGGATAGAACAACCTCATGCAATAATGCACAGCCTGAGATTATAACAGAGGAAACCACCAGTAAGAATTTAACAAATTTGAATGGCTGCCAGTACAAAACTGAATTGCTGCTAGTTCTTGAGGACAAGAATTAACTTAAGGGGTCTGGAACCATTCTCTTTTGAAGAAGTTCTTTCCTGTTCGCAGTGTGTTCAACACAACTTTTAAACTTCTAAGAGTCATAAACAAAGGAGAACAATAGGAAGTCACAAATGGCACTTCCTGATAAAAAGGGTAACAAATGGCACTTGGAAAAGAAACAGTTCCTATTGAACATATTGGAACATACATACAAGAACAGCACATTGCCTCTAAGTTTTTACTTTTTCTGATGTTTAGGTTAGTATATTTTGACAAAAGTTTTAGGTAAGTATCAGATTCTCAATAAGACAATAACATTCAACATACCCAGCTAGAATAACTAGTGTGAACCAGAAGGTATGCAACACCTGAGTTGCACCAAGTTTCGCATCTCTTTGCTGAGGTAGAAAATTTCCATTCTAGCTCACACTTAATTTTGCAAAAGTTTGATCAAACAATAGAAAACTTAAATAGTAGCTTGCCGAAGGATAAATATGAGTAGTACCATGAGACATTGAAGTATTTTCAGCAACATTAGGTATCCTTGATGTTTGTGGTACTCGTTCATGGCCACTATTGGCAGAAGGAACCTGATAAATATTAACACACCAGATAACAACACTTTTATAGGATTAAAACTTCATTAATAATGTGCATAACTTATAAAATCGAGTTACCTGTTCAATTGAGGTGCCATTGATATTTTGAGGCATAGATTCATTGGAAGCATATTTGCGCATCAATTGTCGCATTTCGAGTAATTCTGATTGCATCTTCTCCTGATTTTGTTTCATCAGATTCATTTCTTCATTGTGTTTATCTTTTAACTCGGTTATCTCTTGTGTTAACCTTTGGACAGCTTCATTAGAGGAATCCTCTCCAACAATATTTTCTAAGAAAGATCTACTACCCCATAAACCAGAAGGAGTTGGACCAAGTCCTAAACCACGAACATATCCACTTTTGTCATTTCCGAACACCTGAGAATACACATCGCCTTCCCAAGCAACAGCGCGAGGAGGTTGGTCAGTAAAGCTCTCACTATTGTTCGTCCTTTCATTTATCATTTCCTGGCCATAAAATACATAAATCCAATTTGGAATTCATTTATTCGCTTTTATGTTTTTTCCTAACTATTTCCCAATTAAGAAAATAAAAGAAAAAAAAAAGAAATCTTACAATTGCCTTGACAGAATCAACATCCAGTGGTCTATCATCCTTACGTTTTGTATGAGTTAATATGAAAACTTGTGCTCATGTAGGCTCTATCCTATTTACAGCCTAATACAATAAAATTGATGTAAGATATACGTGAAAAAAAATTAAAACATTATAGTTAGTAATTTGAACAAGTTTACCTGCTCATCCATCAAGGTAGCAATACTTTTGGATCCTCCTGTGTGAGGCATCTTTTGATTGGCCCTATTATTTCTATTTGCTTGGGAACGCCTCTATCGTTGAAATATTAAAATGATATCTTATAAATTATACATAAAAATTGAGCATAACTAAAATTAAAACACTGAAAATAATCAACTTGAGGTGTTTTAAAGATTTGTTAATACCTTAGTTTTATCTGAAAGCCAATAAGCGACAAGACCACTCCATTGATCCCTCGGTATGCGACTTGGTCTATTTTTCAGCAAAAGGTCTTTAGTCTTATATTTTCGCAAATACTCACCCTTTAACTCACACTTATAATCTTTCCATTTCTTTCCTAGTGACTTTAGGACATAAGCTTCTCCTCGTCTTGGGATAGAGAACTTCTTCTAAAAAAAATAAAGCCGATATTTAGAAAAACATATCATGTATAAAATATTGAAACCATTCATATATTAATAATAATAATAAATAAACAAATAAATAAATAAATAAATAATAATAATAACTACTCCATACCCTCACAAAATCCACCAATTTCTTCTTTTCCTCCTTGTCAAAATTTCTCCAATCATCTACATGTAAAGGTGTTAGTTCTGGAGTTCTCGCAATGATTCCTAGAAAGCTAGCAAGCTTTCGGCCTTTTTCCCCAATAGCTTGGTTACGATTATTAAACGGCACATCAACTACCTTCCCCGGAGGAAGTTTCCAAATATCTTTTAGTAAAGTAGGCCCACGAACCTTTCTTGGCTCCAAATTACCTAGAATAGAAGATTCAAAGGTCATCAAACTTATATGGTTAGTACCATGCAACAATAGAAATTACAGAAAATCACAATAGAACTAGTTCATTATAAGCGTCTACTTCATTATATTAGAGAACAGTCTCTATTGACTGAGAGTGAAACAAGTGCCGACTGTGAAGCAAATAGACAATTAATAGAAGCTTCAAGAAACCAACCTGTGAGTAAACAAATGTATGAATTCAGAACTGTTAGGTCAATGCCAACAAAATCTGTTTCTGTGAGTACAATTCAGAACTGTTTCTGTATGAATTCCAAGCAAATGTGGATTCAAGTGAGTACAATTCAGAACTGTTAGGTCAATGCCAACAAAATCTGAGACCTTCTGATCATCAGGACCAAATTGAGGGGAATTCAAATTTTGTCTTTTGCTCAATGCCAAGTTTAACAAATTTTGAACATGGACACATGACAGAAACTGAATTTTCCGACAGCTCAAGTTCAAGAATGAGTTTATTATATACAAGTGAAGCCAAAGAGAGCTCAAGCAGTAGTTCAAATATGAATAACCATCGTAATGCTGCTAAAATTCAGATGAATGAAATTTTGGTAAATCCTCAAGACATGTCATGGGGGTCTGAGAACAAAATATATTCTCTGTTTTAGTATCCGGTTGGATCAAGAATGAATAAGATTTCAGTAATAACCCATTGAGTTCCTTATCAGAAGACACATGTGGGGAAAATATTGTCTTCCACCATATCTAAGATGTAAATTCGATCTTCTCTTTTTATTTTTCGAATCTACTTCTTATATACGTACAATTATACAAAAGGAGCTGGCCTTAGTGGAGAATCAGGCGGATCAAAATGCACTATCGTTTGCAAAGAAAACTGCAGCTCTAAATCCTTTAGCACCAGTTTTTATGCCCAGATCTACAGGGAATGCTAAAGCAAAAAGTTGTGGAAAAAAGGCTACAAATGTAGTGCCATCTGCTAGTTCAAACCCAGCAGGAACCAACAAGCAAATACAAGATACAGCAGTTGTGGAGAATGATTCAGAGGAACAGGAATTTGATTTTTCTACTAGACAGCTGGTACAAAAGGTTGTGCCACCTGCAGCACTTGCTTTTCAGCCACAATCTCCAGGTATGGACAATCAGAATAAATGTGTTACTGTTAATACAGAGGCAGCAAGGAAAAGTCTTAATTCAGTTGCACCAAAAAATAATCCAAGTCCAGCTAGAATTAATAATAAAAAGGGTGAAGAGGCAGTAATCAAGGTGAAAAGGGTAATGGATCAGCAAAATAAAGAATCAACTGCCAATTGGGTCCAAAGATCTTTTCAGGGGAATGTAGTTGCAACAAATACTTCTTGTCAAGAGATACCTACTCAGGACACTAGAGTTGTAGGGGATTTAGCAAAAAATATTGACAAGGAACAAGTGAAGGATGCTGACTTTGAAAAATTTACAAGCAATGAGAAGGTTAAGTGGAAGGGAGGCAGGCTATGGGAGCAGCAGTCAGAGGAAGACTCAGAAGAGGGACAAATTCCAGATGAAATGCAAAGTGAAGAGGAATTGGGAGGTGATGCAATTGATGAAGAAGAACAAAGTGTGAACAGAACTGTCAAAGCAAAGCAGAACAATAATGATAATGCTGACGTTACTGTTCCATTGAATCCATTACACTAAATCTAAGACTAGATGACACAAAAGACTAGCTACTTGGCTCTTGAAATATATTTCAAGTACAGATAGTTCGCATATAACCAAGTTAAAACACCCATAACTAGTTCGATATCACAATAGAAATTACAGAAAATCACAGTTGCTAATTACACTATATAAACTAGTTAGATTAACCATTATATTCACACAATTAAGATTTGAAATGATTCCAGAGAAAAGTGTTACCTGATTCATCATCACTTCGTTGAACTTCAGTACCACCAGCAGAACTATTCAAATCACAAGATTGATCATCATGTGCCTGATCTTCAGAAGAGTTCTGATTATCCATCAACTGCTCAATATAAGGCTGGGTTGCAGAATGGTTTTGACCATCCATCAAATGCTCAATATAAGGTCTCACATCTTCATCGTCGCCTTGTTCAATTACCAGTCGGTTGCGACCTCTAGTTCGTATAGTTCCTTCTCCAAAATAAAAAAAATATCTAGCTGCATTACGCTATATTAGTACTAGATTGACTCCAACAAATCAGCAGGCCACTTGCAAAACATGAGGAAGCATCATCTAAATCTCAATATGTGAAAAATATCAACAACTCGGGTAACGCAAACAAATCCTTGCGAGAAATATTGTTCTAGAGATAAGAGTTATTTATGCACTAGGAAAATAATTATCAAGTGATAGTAACACCTTATAATATCATATTTAAATGGATACAATAAGCAAAATATAAGTAGAAGAAAGCACAATAAATTCACTCAAACATCCAATATTCAAATTTTTGAAGCAAAAAAATAACACCCTTAGAGTTTATTACATAGCACTTGCAACAAAAATATTCTATAAGTACCACCTATCTTATTCAGAATCACATTCATTTTCTATGTTATTTTCTCCCTCAACATTAGCTTCACCATCATTTGGAGAAGGTTGAGAATCTACGTTTTTATCAATTATTATCCCATCGACACCACTTCTTACCCAATCATTATACTCATCTTCTAAAACACAAGCATTTTCTAAAAGAGCCATGTCAGTGGCATCACTTTGCATTGATGACTCAAACTGCATACTATTTTCCTCTCCCATATTAAAAATGTCTCGAGGTTTAATTAACCTAGGGACAAACCATTCATGATCTTGAGGATCTTGCACAAATATTACTTGTTGAGCTTGTTCTGCAAAAATAAAGGGCTCATGACGTTGTTGATCGCCAGAGTCTGTCAGGTGTGTGAAATTCACAAGTGTGAAACCCAAGTCATCTTCCTTAATTCCTCTACCTTTGGTTACATCAACCCAATCACACTTAAATAAGATGACCTTAAACTCATAGTAGTTTAACTCCACAATATCATTCAATCTGCCATAATATGTGATATTTGCAGATTTTGGAGCATTATCACTTGTACTTGCATAACTTTCAGTCTTTGAAACGACCATAACACCACTATTTTGTGTCACATTGAACTCTTCACTTTGTTTTGTTTGGAATCGATACCCATTATTAACATCGAACGCACTGAATCTTTTTGCAATGTAACTTGGTCCTTGTGCTAGGACTTTAACATCATTTAAGATGTTAGATGTGGCTTCCAACTCCTTTACCTAACCAATTAAAAGATACAACTATAAATGTGGATATTTGTATAAGGATAATAATTTAACGTAAACAATGACTTAGGCCTACTACTTACTTGATCCTTGAACCACTTATGAAATGTATCGAAATGCACACGATCAAGTTGATGTTGTGTCAAACGACGCTTACGATGTGCTCTTTTGATTTCAGCAATATGTTCCCTATACATGTAACTCGCATATATCAATTTTGTTATCAAATAAGTAATATATATATATATATATATATATATATATATATTAAATAATATATATAACACTTACTTTTCATAATTCTCAACCACTTCTGATTCACAAATGAAAAGCACATGCCGATGTGCTTGCAACCATGTTTTGTCATCCAACTCAAATGCATCTACTCCACCGTATGACTCCCCAACAGTAGAAAAAAGAGATTCTTCTTTATTAGCCTCATGCTCAATTTCATCACTCCATTTTCTTGAACAATAAGACCTTGAATCTCCACCCTCTAAATATCGTGAGCAGAATGCCATACACTCATTTGCTATGTATGCGTCCGCTATTGAACCTTCTGGACATGCACGATTACGAACATATAATTTTAAAGTACCCAAATACCTATGGGACAAAGTAATGTTATTAGTTTGATATTAGAGTATTTAACAACTAAAGACATATAACAAAGATTCAGTGATATTCTACATACCTCTCAATTGGATACATCCAGCGATAATGTACTGGTCCTGCATGTTTAGTTTCAGTTGCCAAGTGAATAACCAAGTGTATCATAACAGTAAAGAATCCTGGGAGGAAGAGTTTCTCCATAGTAGACAATGTTTCTGGGATTTTTTCTTCAAGTAGGTTTAACTCTTCTAGGTTTAGCTCTTTGCTACACAAAACACAAAAGAATGTGCATAGTTCAATTAAAATTGAACTTACTCTTTTATCTACTGATCTCCGCAAGGCAAGAGGAAGAAGTTCTTGCATTATAACATGACAATCGTGAGTTTTTAGCCCAGATAACTTTCGTTTGTGAATGCAATGTGAAATATTAGACGCATAGCCATCTGGAAACTTGGCATTTTGTAGTACTTCATAAAATAAGTCCTTTTCCTGCTGAGACATTGTAAAAAAGTTAGCAGGAAGATATGCTCTCCCACTAGCTCAATATTGAGGCCATAAGCTTGGTCTTATTTTCATCTCCTTCAAGTCCAATCGAGCTTCTAAGTTTTTAGACATTTTACCAAGATTCAATAGTGTATAAATTAAGTTATCGCACACATTCTTTTCTATATGCATCACATCAAGATTATGGCGCACCAAGTTAAATTTCCAATAAGGAAGATCGAAAAAAATACTTCTCTTTTTCCATGTGTTTTTCATCACCCCACTTACCCCTTCACTTGACTGGCCGAGAGTAAATTTTATATCTTTAACTTGATTCAGCACTACCGACCCAGATACTGGACAAGGTGCAGGTCTTGTTTCTTTAGTCCCATCAAATGATTTCGCATCATTCCGATATTTGTGTCCCGACTTCAAGAAGCGTCGATGCCCCATGTAACAAAACTTTCTGCCATGTTTCAGCCTTCTAGATTGAGTGTTTATGTTACAAGAAGGGCATGCAAACCGACCATAAGTGCACCATCCAGAGAGAGTACCATATGCAGGAAATTCATTTATAGTCCACATGAGAGCTGCTCGCATTTGAAATATCTCCTTAGTAGAGGCATCGTATGTTTCTACCCCAACATCCCATAATTCATTTAACTCTTCTATTAGAGGTTGCAAAAATACATCGATATTATTGCCAGGCGCTTTGGGTCCAGGAATAAGTAAGGACAGAATGAAGAACTCTTGTTTCATGCACATCCATGGAGGAAGATTATATGGCATTAAAATCACTGGCCATGTACTATGAACAGTTCGCATTGTGCCAAATGGATTGAACCCATCAGAAGCTAGTCCTAGGCGCACATTGCGAGGGTCTCCAGCAAATTGGGGATATTTACTATCAAATTTTTTCCAAGCTTCAGAATCTGCAGGATGTCGTAGAACTCCATTTTTGTTGTGCTCTTCATGATGCCAACGCATTGCTTTAGAAGTTTCCGAAGACATAAACAGTCTTTGTAGCCTTGGTTTTAAAGGAAAATACCTTAGGACCTTGGCTGGGATTTTTCTAGCATCATTTTTCCATCTAGAAGCTCCACAAACATTGCATTTATTGACATTCTTATTAGCAAACTCTTTCCTAAAAAGCATGCAATCATTGGGACAAGCATGAATTTTCTCATACTTTAAGCCCAAGCCTTCAACTATCTTTTTGGTCTCATAGAAAGAAGGAGGCAATTTTTCTCCTTTAGGCAGCGCATCCTTCAATAGTCCAAGTAAAGCATTAAACGATTCATTTGACCATTTGAACATGCATTTTGTACGGTACAGATGCATCAAAAAGGACATTTTGCTAAATTCTTACATCCTGGATATAGTTCTTCATTTGCCTCCTTCATGAGCCGTTCAAACTTATCCACCTCTGGATGCGATTGATTTGCAGATGGATGAGCAGTATTCTCTTGTAAGTCTTGCTCCATGCCACCTAATTCACTAACGTTAGTATCCATGAACTGTGTAACACCTGCAAATGCATCATGTATCATTCCTCTCATATCATCGCCCCTTTGAGTTGACTGACTGCGATTATTTGCTTCAGAATTGTTTGATCCCTTTAGAGACTCACCATGACAAAACCAAGTATCATAGGATGGTATAATACCATTAACCACAAGATGATCATATGGTGTAGCCCGATTTACTTGATGCATAAGCACACACTCCGTACAAGGACATGCAATTTTTTCTCCATCTTGTTTTTCAGAAAAGGCATGATTTAAAAAATCCTCTACTCCATCCAAATATTCTTTACTAACTCTTCACAATACATCCATCTTTTATTTGTAGGATTGTCCATGACATTCAAGATAGTCTTTTCTTTTCTATAAATACTGAAAGAGCTAAAAATGCGTTAGTAAAAAGGTGGAATTAATGAAAAATGTAGTTAAAATAAAATAACCATCCTATTAGCAGGTAATTCCATGGCTCAAAAATATCATTTTAATAATTAAAATTATTAAACAGAAATTTATTTAAAACGATCACTTAAACAATTAAAACTATCAAACAGTTAAACTATCTCTAATTTCTTCTATATTTTTTACATATTGGTTCATTAAATTTTCTAAAATAGAATTATTAAACTTATAATTTATAGAATAACCATATATCATATATTTTAAAACTTTCAAAACTTACTACTCCTATTATGAATTTCCGGAGTACTTAAAAGAGGCTTATGGCAACCCACCGATTTACATTCAGGAAAATGGTCAAAAGACTAGTGTCCAAGGATCAAATCTGGACAATAGCCAAATGCAGATTCACGATACTAGTGTCCAAGGATCAAATCACCTAAAGAGGCTAGTCATAAACATAGTGATCAAGCACATAATGGAGTTCAAATACTACCTAGGAGAGATGACTACAAGATTGGTTGATTTACTTGAGAGAGCTAGAGTCTCGTTACAGATGATAAGGTACTTGGCTTTAGATGAGGCAGATCGAATGCTTGATATGGGGCTATGTAATTACCTTAGCATATGACTTTACATCTTGTAAGACACTACACTACTTTTGTTTGTTTTGCTTTAGAATAAACAGATTCTTACAAAGAATCGTGTCCGCTGACCAAATAGTGCACCTGAGCTTTGTTCTAATTTGCTCGAGCAAAAGACAATTTTTTTGTGGAGATTTTATATTGGCTCACAAGCTTTGGTCTATCTAATGAACTTATCTACATATTCATTATGTGCATTGATTTTCATCTTCATCTGAACAGAATATTGTATGACTCCTATTATATTAGTGGAGTTTCCAGTGCTTACTTATCAAACAGAGTGCATCCCACCCCTCTGGAAAATGGAGGGAAAAAGGTAAAAAGAAACATAAAACATGACAAAAAGGAAAAAATGGAATAAAATTTTAAGTGACTATTATCTCATCGTTTTATTTTCTTTAAAAAAGCATGCATTTCCTTCTTATAGTGGGATAAACATAGCACCTCAGAAAAGCCACAACAGGTAACCTACTACATGTTATGTACACAGTGACTCTTCTTGCCATCTCATGATGCGTTTGATCTGTAGGTGACTCCCCTTATATTTATGCCAAAGTTTCTTACTTATTCCATTTTGACTTTCTCCGACATAGAGTAGAAGAATATTCTTGTTTTTTAATACTTGATTTCTCCATTTTACCCTGATAAAAATGTTTTTACGAATACCGACTATATCAATCAGACATGCTGAATCTTATGGATGCTACAAAATCTACTTTAGGCTTGCTAAAACTGAAGATACTAATGTAATGCTGAAACCAGTACCAACCAAATAAATGGTAGACCTGATTACCTGGCCTTTCTCACATCCACCCAAATCGCTCTTCTCCACTATTGGCATTACAATGGGTGTTTATGATATGTGTCACAGGTAACAATAGAGAAAACAGAAATTGTAAACACAAAAAGGCAGCAGCTATAACAAACAACTATCAATCAGAGAAAACAACAAAAACGCAGCAAACAAACAAAAAACAATAGAGTAACAGGGGAAGAATCAATTCAATGAATCGACTATCAATCTAATAGCAAGCAGGGAGATATCACAAATAACTTAGCAAACACAAAAAAGCTATACTTTGATATCGACGATTGAGCATATTCGAGCAGCATCAACCCAAAATCAACTCAAATCGCGACTCGCATATGCAGAAAAAACTGTACTTTCGCAAATCTCAAATCTGAACAGTTGAAGGTACGAATTTGTACCTGGTAGCAGATTGTTTTGTTAATAAACACATGAAATTGAAATTTGAATCCTGCAACGAACTTGAAACCTACAGGAAAAGAGAAGTGGAAACGGATAAAACAGAGAATACTAACAATGACGATAGAGCATAATCGAGCAGCACAATCCTAACTCCACTGTTAATTGCGTCTGCTGGGTGAAAAAACGAAAATACCTGGGGAAGAAGAGCAGTTATCTGGGGAAGAAGCTGGCCGGAGACCTTCGATTATGTTAATCTGGCCGGCGATTCTAGGATTCTGTCTGCGATTCTGGCTGGGGAAGAACAACGATTATTCCGTTCAATGAAACGATAAAAACTCGCCAAGCCTATATGTAGACTCTGTAAATTGTATCCTTTTTGATGAAGGAAAATCGATATGTGAGATTCCTACCCTATTCGTTGAAGAAAAATCGTATCCCGTTCAAAATAGGTTTTCCTATTTTTTCTGATTGGAGGGAATTGATGGATTCTTTTTTGTGCAAATTGGAGGGAATCGATCGATTATTTTTTGTGCAAACTGGAGGGAATCGATCGATTATTTTGTTGTGCAAAATAATTTGGAGGGAACGATTTATTTGGCAGGGAGGGAAAGTTTTTAAAAAGAAACAAAAGAAAAACCTATATGCGTCGGTTATTAGTCGATTAATTGTTTTTAATGGCAATTTATTTTAATTGCCGGTAAAAGGTTGTTTTTAGTGGCCAATGGTCATTTGCCGCATATACTTTAGCTTATAGAATATACTAGCGGCAATTGACTTATTGCCGCTAAATAATTGCCGCCAAATGCCCTTTTTGTAGTAGTGTTAATTGAGTTTGAGCTTTAATCGCTAGTGTTTTGCACTAATGGTGTGTTTTATACCTTGTAGGAGTGATTCCGAGCTATATAGATGTTATGGAATGAATTCTAGTGATTTGGAGCTTTAAAGTCTGAGTAAAAGCCAAAGGAATTAAGCCGGGATCGGATTCGGGGATCAACGGATGATAGAGCAATGAAACGAAGAATCGAGTAGGCATATTGCGCACTGTCTAGTCAAATGCACATAACTTTTTTCTCAGAACTCTATTTGGGCTTCACAATATATGGTTGAAAAGCTAACTCAAATGACTAAAACGTCCATGTTTTACGTTTTCCCAAATTCCAAATTAAAAGGGTGAAAAATGCGGTCGAAACCGCAACCGTGGACCTTAATGCGGGCTGAGGCAGTGCACTGGGAAAATACCGAGCTCGGACCGCGCCCGCGAGCGTCCAAACCTGATAAATTATCCTGTTTGCGTATGAGAAGGTATAATTGTTTGGACATACATGAAAAATGGTATTTTTAGGGGTTGTACATACTTTTGACACAGATTCGACCTAAGGAGGCAAGAACACACTAGGAGCAAGGCGGAGAATTCTTCTACGAGTTTTTCACTTCCTTCTTCCTATTTTCAATATTGGTTATGACTTTTAGTATTGTAAGTTTTACATACTATTATGAATAGCTAATTTGTTATCTAGGGTTTTGATGGAACCTTTTGTAGGATAAATTCTTGTTATGTCTTTATATAATTGATCAGTCGTTGGATTTCTCTACTTGTTCAACTATGTATTTATTGTTGTTGATTGAATGGTCATCGATTGACTGTGCCTATTTATTATGTGTTTCTTGAGAAATGATACATATTTAGGTGGTTGTTGAACAATGTCACTCCTAACGTATTTCATAAATCAATACAACGGGTTTAAAGGTAGGTTTAGAAATAACAAAGCCTTGACGTGGTCATAATGAGCGGTTAGATAAATCCAACTAGCGTAGTTCGAGAGAATATGTCTAGCATATTATTGTTGTTGCTCGAGAGAGAATTACGGCACCTAAAGTGCTCACGATCAGTAGAGAAATACATTAGCAAAATTGTAGGGAACATAGCTAGAAGGATTCTGACAATTGGGGAAATCATAACTCTAGACCTCCTTAATTTAGTCTCCAACCCTTTGTCTTGTTAGTTGATAATTTTACTGCTTTCTAGTATTTGTTAGTTAATTTAAGATTGACATGCTCACCAGTGAGTACGAGCTCTTCAGAATGAAGGACGATGAATCCATTCGAGACATGCACACTCGATTCACTTCTATCATAAATGAGCTACACTCGATTGGTGAAATCATTCCTAGAAACAACCTCGTGAGAAGAATTCTCAGTGTTTTTCCCAGTTCCTAGGAGAGTAAAGTGAATGCCATTACTGAAGCAAAGGATTTACAGGAGCTGACTATAGATGAGCTGGTTGGGAATCTGGAAACCTATGAAATGAAGAAGAGAAAGGTAATTGAAAGAAGAGAACCAAAGAAGGAAAAGAACCTGGTACTCAAGGCAGAAAGCAATGACTCAAGTGGCGAGGATAATGACATAGCTTACTTAACCAGAAGATTTCAGAAAATGGTTAGAAGGAATGGAGGTATACCAAAGAGAGGCAGTTCTAGCAAGCCAAAGAACTATGACCTCTGTCATAAGTGTGGAAAGTCAGGGCATTTCATCAAAGATTGTCCTCTCCTAAAATAAGAACACTTCAAACACAACTATGACAAAGCAGCCAAGAGGAACCCGGTTCCTAATAAACGCTTCAAAAGAAAGAACGCCACTGACAATGTTGTGAAACAAGATCTTGCAGCATGGGGATATTCTTCCAGAGAGTCTGAAGAAGAAGATGATGTAGGTGACAACTCAATGATGACAGTTGAAAGTGAAGCGAATGAGTATGACTCAATATTTGCTTTGATGGCTCAATCAGATGATAATGAAGACGATGACAATGATGAGGTAAATTTTCGGGATGTTCAGAGAAATCTGAAGTCCTACTCTCCTAGAAAACTCATGTCATTAGCTAATGTGTTAATTGATGCTTACCATAGTCTTGTAAATGATAAGGATGCCTTAACTATGGAGTT